TACAATTTTTTTTTTTTTCATTTTTCACATGTGGGAAATAAAATAAAGCTATTACATTTATGTTTTTTTTTACGTCCTCTGTACTGTGCTTAATTTTTTATTAAAATTATATTAAGAACTTTTATTAAAATTTATTATTTATTTTCCTTAAAAGAAAAACCTTGTTAGTACTCAAGGTGTGCGTGCTTCATTACTAGCAATAATATTTAAAATGCATCTTATAATAACAATTAGAACTGAAGGTCTTTGGTGTCGCCATCTATAAGTGGTTGTAAAAAATATTTTTAATAAAATTCAATGAATAATACTTTTGCTTAAATTCGGTAATTATTAATTTGATAAGTTTGTTGTTTTTTCCTTACATGAAGCTTAAGAACTATTTCCAAATTTTTTGCTGTATTGAACTTAAGATATCATAAATCTCTGACGTCTATAACATAAATGCATTAAAATATTTTATAATGATACATTTAGAAGGGGAAATTTCTAATTGCACATTTCAATATTATACGCAGCGATTCAGATTTGCCTTATTATCCATATCTTATCTTATATTAGAAGAAAAAAAGCATAACAATACTTAAGTATTGCTATGATGTAATTGTTTATTTATTATTATTAAATGCAGCTTTATAAATTACTGTTAATTATTATTATTTGATAATTACTGATTATTTGAGAAGTTAAGAAAGGTTCTTAGTTCCTTCTTACTCGTACTCTGTTCTTACATTAATTTTAAATTTATTAAACAATTACAGTTGTTTTAAATTTATTAAACAATTATTTAATCTTAAGTGTTCTCCGTGATTCAATAATGAGATTGACTTTGGTTTCGCCATCTATATATGTTTTATTCAACTATTTTCAATAATATCAAATATCTGTTATTTCATTTTTTTAATTATTTTTGTATAAAGTTGATGACAAGTCCAATCTATTCCTTTATTTTATATTTATAAAGACTGTCTTACATGACTTAAAAACTAAACTAAGATTATATTTTAATATGGAATTACGCACACTTACTTTAGGATTTTATTATTTACCTGAGCATTTATTTGATATAATTTAATTATGAGATTTATAGCAAATATTAAATTTGAACATATTTAAATTTTTTCACTAAAATGTATTCATTTTTAATATAACAAGTAAATATGATATATTTTACTATGATAACTTCGTTCACCTTATGAAAACTATTATATGTACGCATAAGTAAAAAGTATTGACATTTTAATTTTTCTCTGTGTTACTAATTTTAAGCTTTATTTAAATTTTTGAGCATTGTATTACACTAATTGAAATTTCTGTAGGTTCTGCTGTGCATATGCATTTTCAGAATTTAAATCATTCTTTTTCTTATAGTTTTAAAATAAAAATGTCGGATGATTTTATTGAATTTTTAAAGAGTATTCAGTATCTTCTTATGAGTCACATCTTTAATTTATAATAAATTTAAACTTAAAAAAAATCTTAAAGAATCACTATGATAGTAGTAATTAATTAAAATATATAATAGACCAACGACCAATATATAATAGAATCTTAAATAGATCAACGATTATATATCACCTTCATTAAAAATAAAATTTTTCATTGAAGTATCAAAATGGTGTGCTGTTATTTTGAAACTCAAAAACTATTTTATAAAACATGAAGAATTCATCAACTCAATCACAATAGCTTCACGATTGATATACAAATAACAATTGTCTATCAGCAGGTAAAAATGCATCTAAGATGATGCTGCCATCTAGTTCTTATTACAACCTTAAGAATATTTAACCTAAAGAATAAAAATATTTTATAGTATTATTTTTTTAGATTTAAGCCTAAAGAATACTTACCATTTAAACATTAATCAAACAATTTATGATGTTTGAAAACTGTGAACTAATGACTATATAACGAATGCAAATCTGCAATTGAGGGACGTGATTTTGTTTAATAATCTGTGTCAACAATTGCGTTATACTTAATTTACTAAAAAACACAATTTTAAGCAAATTTTTGATTTGTAAGTTCTTGTAGCAATCAAATGTATAATTGCTTTATTTCAGCACGAACTAAATCTAAATGTGTTTGTATTGATAGTTTTTTAGTCCAGTTTTTGTTTTTAACACAAAATATATTTTGAATTAAGGAGTTTTATTATTTAGCAAAAATTTTATCGTAGTTAAAATATTTCCAATTCACCAAAACTAGAATACTTTTTTATAGTATCAACCTCAGAATTGTCAATATAAAAATAATTTGAAAAAGTATTTTTCTTTTATTAATTTAGAATTTGTGTATAATTTATGAAGTCGAAACAATACTTTCACGAAAAATTAAGAATTAACAACTCCTGTAAATCTATGACAAATAATTAAATTTTTAATTCACGTGTTTATTTTCCCCCCTTTCAAAATAAAAAAAAATCTGCTTTTCCTCTATTTTTTCTTCGTTTTCGTTGTATGCAAAATTTTTATACATTTATAAATTTCCATTCTTTTAAAACTGAGTTTTTTTTTAACATTCTTCAAAAAACATTAAAAAATTATAAATTCATATTTTACGACTGCTATATTTTACATTAAGATGAAATTTTACATTTTCGCGAAATAGATATTGTTAAATTTTAAAGCAAGCTTTCATATATATGCAAAAGTAAAAAAAAAAATATATATATATATATATATAAAAAAAACAATTTTGTTAATTTGCTGAAGCTTATAGGAAAATAACCTCGATAAACCTAATTAATGATCGAATATTTTAAAATACTATTTTGAATGTCATGAATTTCAGATTAATTTATAAAATCAACGTTGCCATTTCTTTAATTAAAACGTCATTTTTTTTTTTTTTTCGTTTTGTAGAAAATGATAGTTTAATTATTTATGAAATATTTATTTACTACGAAATACTATTTTTTTCAAAAGATGACATCATAATTTTGCCTCAACAAACCTTGAAAAAAGAAATTACAAAATAATTAGAATAGAATTACTGCGGTAAGTAGCATCATCTGCTATGACTTTAATAAAATGTTTCAAATGAGATGAATGTCTACTTTATTCGCAGCTGACTTTTTGAAATTTTTAGAAATTACACGCTTTGAGATCCGGAAGTCAGATATAAAATTTAAAATTTATTAAAAATAAAAAAATAATTAAAATATAATTTTCTAAAAAATCTTCTAAAGATGTTTTTTTAATAATACAAAATAATTCGTTCCTTTAAAGAAATTTACAAAAAAAAAAAAGTCTTCTTGAATGAGAATTAAACATAATGTAAAAGTAAAAAGGTATTTTTTCTGCATTTTTCTTTTCAGAATACAAATAACTTTCAATATATTTTTAAAGTAAGGTTGTTTTAAATTTTGAATTAAAAAAAAAAATCTTTTTTAAAGGCACTTGCAGGCATTATAGGATTTTGTTTTTAAAAGAAAAAATAATCTTCAAAAATAATTTAAAATTTGTTTTTATTAAATTCTGAAAAGAATGTTTTCTAGTAAATTTATTTTTTTGTATTACGTGTTTATTAACGAAGTTTCTACGTCGTTTCAAAAATCTTCAAAGGGTAAAGTTAATTTTTAAAAATTTTATAACGGAATTTTAAATCTTTTTTAAAGCAGTATGATCCTCTCATGGTTTAGGAAGCAATAATGAAAATATGGTTTTCGGTAATGACAGTCTTTAATATAAATTTTTGGAGACCTAGTAACAAAAAAAAAGAATACATGATGTGGTAAATTAACATTTAAGGGAGAAAAATACAAAATCACTAGCGAATCATTATTGAGGAAACCGGGACTGAAACAAAAAAACTATTTGGTAGCCCGAAGAGGTCAAGAGAAAGGCGAATATTAAAATCACGTCCCGAATTTTAGTGAGCCAATCAAACTCATTTCTAAGTTTTTCGATAGCGTTTTGGTTTTTTCCTTGCTTAACTATTAATTTGTGACCTCTAATGTGTGTAACTATTTACTTCATTTATGGTGATTTTAAAGGTTAAAGAAGGTGATCAAGAAATAAACAGTATTCCTGAAAAATATTTAATTTTAAAATTGAATATTTCTCAAAAGAATGTAGTCTAAAAAATCATTATAAGTGATGTTGAAGATTGATTAAGGTTCTGATAAATCTGAATTTTTAGGCAATTTCCTGCGATCCAGCGTGTTCTGACGGCAAGAAAAATAACAGAAATTCTTTTCACAAATTTTCAAAATTAATAACTACAAAAGACTTTTTAAAAAAAAATCTGATCTGAATTTCTGGTGCCAAAGAGTAACGAATAAAAATTTTCTGTAAATCTGGGTAGGTTAAGTTGAAATTATAATTTTTATCGATTCATTTTGGTTGATTTGATACGAAATAACTATAAAATGTATTATAGATAATTGAAAAATATTATTTTTAACGATTTATTCAGTTGAGTTTAGAGTTAGTTTATAGTCACAAGTTCTGTAATCGGCTACACTGCACCAAATCCAAACGGGTATTAAGTAATTTAAAAATGAAGATCAAACAGTGTAAAATCTTAAATGAGCTCAACGCTAGAAAAATGGAAGGATGAACACTAGGCCATCTTGGGGTCGTGGGACCCGTATTTGCCTGGAAAAAACTTATCCCTGAAGGGAAGATTTACTTAACTTTTAATTATTTTCGAATTGAATTGTTCAATATCAATCACTGAAACAAAAAAATGAAAGAATTTCTTTTATTTATAAATAAAAGTCGTTTAATTTGTCTTTGCCAAAAGTTTGAATTTTACGAATATAATTCGTATTTTTATTCTTATATAAAAGAGCAAAAAAACAATCTGGAACCAAGTTTAATTTTGAAATTTTTGACAAGAAATTTAACTTAATAATTAATAAAAGACATTGAATTCAGAGTCAAAAGGAATCTAAAAATTCCAATTTCGTTTGCAAGATTAATTTTAAATTATATTTCCTGAAATCTCATTATTTATATAATTAATTTCCAGCTCACAATAAAAACATATCAGGATGTTGTAGTTTCTTTTAATTTAACAAATTTTAAATAAAAATAATTTACTTATAAATAAATTAACATCAGTTGGCTGGTTTCCAAGAAGCTTTGAAGCAGTCCGTCTTTGGATTCCAAAAAGAATCCAAATTATCATAAATCTTTGGCAAATTGGAACGTTTATAATTCAGAGCTTCACAAATACGACACAAATGCAATGATGGGGAACCGAAGTAACCATGCTCATTAACAACTTTGAACTCCTGTTGCCATTCAAAGTATGAGTTATAAGCCTCGTCATCTTCCATGAGAAACTCTAAGTACTTAGCCAAATCTGCTGGCGATTTAAAATCGTCTGTATGGATGAACGATTTAGGTGGACATAGTTTTAAGTAGTCTTCTTTAGGAGCTCCCATTACAACAGGTACAGCTTCTTTATGGTAAGCATTCCACCAAAGTTTCTCTGTGATATACTCTCTACAGTTTGAGTTCTCAAAAGCCAAGTAGAATTTATAATCACTGATGATTGGGCAATCTTTCATGAAATGACCAGGACATTTATGCGTGCCACAACCTCCATAAATATCTACGGAGATATAGTTTTGCAATTCATGCACATAGTCCCATCTATGATTCTGTCCACCGCAGTTACTACCCAAAATGGCAATACCACGCGATTTAACAGCTGCGTGATTCTTTGGCTTGAACTGTTCTTTCTCGGTGTCGGATAAAGGAACTGTTCTTCCATAAGGAACGGGTATATCCGAATCACTACGATATGTCATACTCCAATTGAAAAGTCCGTTATAATCTTTCATAGAGTACTTTCTAGAAGCGTAGAATGTGTGCAAAGGAGATTCATCGGTGAAAAATATCCAGATCTGATGATCTGGATGTTCTGAAGGTAGCGTGTGTGGTCCTTTGGTTTGATGGAGGTGAAATAAAACAGCGTCACTGTTATTGACAATGGAGTCGTTAGTGGATAACACGCAGTTACTAACACTGCAGAATTCAAATGGATCTTTGGAAACTTTCCCGTAAGACCTCAGAAAGCGTCTTTTCATCCGTTCTCCATGACGCCAGACGTGAATGGTAAAGTTGTTGGATTGTTCTTTCTTTGCTGATTCAATTGGATTTTCCAAAGCATGGATGGTCCTCAAAGAATTTCTGAGATTTTCGGAGCTACCGATAGAGTAAACATATGATCTGAAAGATTCCTGAGGAGAGTACAGAAGTACAAATATTAAGGTGACGATTGGAAGGGACAGAATGAAGATGCACAGATTTTTGTACAAAATACGCAATGGTATTCGAGAAAAATGCGTGCGGATTTCATGATACATTCCGGTGTTGACTTTTCTTCCTTGTTAAGCACATTTGTCAGATAAAACGTTTGTAAAGGCAGTTTATCTGAAATAAAACAATAAAAAATTAATTTTTACTAATGAATATTAAAATTCTACCTGAAATATAAAAATAGTAAATTTTAAGTACAAGAGTAAAGCACGTATACGTATCCCTTCGGTACTTGGTGCGTCAGCGTTTAGAATGCATTTATTAAAGAAACTTTGCTTTCTTTTTGTTTTAGGTTGGAAAATAATAAACAAGTTTTTAAACTCAAGTATGTTAATCGGTCACTAACGGATTTAAAAAAAAGTATCGGAAATGAAGGTAGGTATTTTATTTACGACGCATTAAAGCTTCACAATGGGCTATTGGCGACGCTCTGAGAAACATCTGTAGACATGACATCACAACTTAAATCCTCTGCAGATGGTTTCTCCGCTTTAGTAGCCCGACGACCTGCACGCGAAGTCTAGCACTTTACTTTAGAATAATTTAACGAGAACCGATACCGCGCACACTCGGTCTATACGTAGACTGATCAAAGTGGTCATCCACCCCACCCGTTTACTGACCGCAGCCAGTGATGCTTGACTTCGGTGTTCTATTGGGAACCGTGTCTTTACGAGCAGTCCACTGCGGGACATATCAGAAAGATATCTTCAAAATTAACTACCAAAGCTAGAAATAAAACAGCGTAACCTGAAAAAAATATGAATTTGTCACCGAATTGAGGAAAAAAGTTAAAAATAAAAACTCATTAAAAAAAAATTTTTTTTTTAAAGTTGCCAGAAATTTAGAAACTATTGTAATTCAAAAATTCGACTTTCAACTAAATTTCGAAAGCGTTTCATAAAAACAGTAGCAATGACGTAAAAACGGTAGTAGTTAGCATTCTTGAAAACTCAAGTTTCTAGTACGGTAGATGAAACTGTTCAGAATTTTCTGCTGTATGACTAACGTTAGTTAGTTTTTTTGATTTAAAGGAATTTATCCTTCAACACTTCGATTTTTTTTTATGAAACTAGTCTATTCGAATTTTACTAAAATAAAAAAGGATTACAAAATCTTTATTACATAAAACTAACGGGTTACGAGAACACATATAAATTTGATCGATTTACAATTTCTAAGATCGTAAATTGTAAGAACTTAAATAAATTTATAAATAGTTTACTTTGTTAATATATATACGTATCCAACTTTAATAAAAAGATACGAAGCTACAAATAAATACAAGTTGCAATCTAAAAGCACAACGTAATTTACAATAATAGATTTTACATTATTCACAAATGCCAGCCAAGTTGAATTAAACGAAAACTTTAAACTGACGCTATGTTTCTCGTATTTGCATTTTAAAAATGAAATTGAAAATTTAAAAACAAAATAGCCAGTAAAAGTAGACTTATACTTTGCCACTCCTGAAGCAGATGGAAAAAAATAAACAATTTTACATAGTGCAACATGATACTTCATTTAAATCAAATGCAGAGTTGTCAGTACCGCCAACTCTTGCGACATTGTGTACTCTAGCCTAACTTTTCAAACCGATTAAATTTTGCCACAAACTAAGTTTGATACAAAAAAAAAAGGAAAGAAAAATAATCGTTGTAATACATTGGACATACGGGGGTTGTGGGACCTATGATAACCGGAAAGAAGGCGAACCCTGTAAAAGATTCTGATAAAAATTTATTTTAATCTTTCAATATTCAGTAAGTTTGAGTAGTGAAAAACAGTGATATCAAATCATTAACACGGATTCTCTAAAATATTTATTAAAAAAATTAAATTAAAATAATTTAATTAAATTAAATTAAAATTAAATAAAATTAAATTAAAATAATTTAAAATAAAAAAATCCAGTAGTCTTATTTAATCATGTTAAATTAACAAAAAAAAAATCCTCTTTCATTTTTGATGCATTTATCTTAAGCTAAGCAAATTGAATAAATGTATGCTATTCATTTTCATTTTTTAGCCTCGTTTGAAAAACAATAGATTTTGTTATTTATTTACTTGTTATATTGTTGCCAGATTATAAAATAAGAACTTTATGCATATTCCATGAGAAATGTCAGACGATTTCTAGGTCACGCTCGACTTAAGTTTTCAACGGAATTTCCGGTACTAAACAAGCGATAAAAAATGCACTCATCCCGTTCATGTGTTGACACCGAATGTAATTGAATTCAATTTTCAGAATTTTATGTTCGGCCTTGTTCCTACAAGGAGTAAATGGAATAATCAGTAATGCATGAACGCTTCTAACCCTACAATTACATGTGAATGCATCATTCCTAATTATAGTCTTTCACCAATGATAATTTATGTGAATAAGATATCATTTGCAAAGTTAGACCAATGATAGAAAATCGGCGAATTATATATGTATTATCATTGAAGAACATATGTCAAACTTACTTTGTTATGAGGAACAAATTAAACAGTTGCTGATCACAGTGTAGCCAAATATGTAAATATAAATATGTACATATTTGTAATATATATTGAGTGATTTATATTTTGACCCAAATTTGGAGTTTAGGACTACAAATGTTTAACTTTGTAGCCTTGAAATTTTGAACCCAATCCAGAAGACAATGAATCTCCTGGATCAAGTATTGGACGAAATTTGGCTTCGTTGAATATTCAACTGCATTTGCGTAGCATGGAGATAAAAACCACGAAAACCTTCCACGTTTAGTCATTTAGTTAACTTTAAACCGTTTTACAAACGCACAAATTTATCATTGAAAAATCAGTAAAAATTATANTAATCGTGATTACAAGTAATTGATTACATAGCTGTAATTATCTGTAATCAATTACAGTTGTAATCGATTACTGTAATCAACGGCCAACTCTGCTAATCAGTTCTGTTAATGATAATGAACAGCATACAACAGTAATTGCTATGACTAATCAGTTCTACTTCACATTAAACTTTACTGACCATCCAATCGCTAATAATGGAATAATATCTTTGAAAAGAAATCGCTAATCAATTATCGACCAAATTAAAATAAATCTCACAGAAATTGCATACACAACTGGTATCATTAATGACCATGACGAATCGGTTCCTATCATTTTAAACTTTTATGACAATCCAATATTTAAAAATATCTTTGCAAGATATAGCTAATCAATGACTTACCTAGCTAAAGAAAGATTTTCTTCAAATTGAATGCACAGTAATTAATACACAGTAAAAAGTAATGACTGATGAATCGGTTCTATTTCATTTCATATTTAAATTTTTATGACTGATCAATCACTACTAATACATTTTTGTAATAAAAAAAACAATCTGGTCAAAGCATGGTTAATAACAATGACGAATCGGTTCTTTATCATTTTAAAATTCTATGACAATCCAATATATAAAAATATCTTTGCAAGATATCGCTAATCAATGACTTACCTAACTAAAGAAAGATTTTCTTCAAATTGAATGCACAGTAATTAAAACATAGTAAAAAGTAATGACCGATGAATCGGTTCTATTTCACATTAAATTTTTATGACTGATCAATCACTACTGATACATTTTTGTAATAAAAAAACAATCACATATAGAAATAAAAGATCACATACAAATTGAATACACAGAAACCACTGTAAACAGCAGAAATGGCAAAGACAAATCGGTTCTAATTTACGTGAAACATTAATGAAAATCAAAACACTAATACCTTAGTAAAGAAATCGCCAATTAATAACTTACCAAAACTAAAAAAACGATCTTGTGCAAACTGAATAGACAGTAAGCAGCAGTAAAGGCTATGATGAATCGGTGCTAATTTACATTTAACAAACATGAAAATCCACTACTATGCCGTGAAGAAATTGCCAATCAATTACAAGCCAAATTAAAAGATGAAGTCATACAAAATGAGCAATCGATCCTCAAATTTAGTGTTTAACGACACGAGCGTACAATTTTTTAATAATGGTCTAGTGAAAAAAGTTAAACAGAATAACCCTTTGAAAGAATGAATGAACACAGGGATGCGTCATTTTAAAAGGGAAACCGCTGATAAGCATTTCACGGTTCAAAAAGATAAAAACTTTTATTCAGCTACTATCAGTCAGGTCAAGGAGTCTTTAGGTCTTGACCTGCGTTGCGTGCTTATTCAAAATATGCCACCTCAATCCAGTGCATTTTATCAAATAACTAACGTGTCAGCTAAATCACAGCGTATCATCAAACATAATCAAAAAATAAATAAATAAAAAAATACCGAAAGTAGAGAATTTAAAGCAAGCTACAGTTGAGGAAAAATCAAACTTAAAAATCTTTCTGCATTTGTTAATATCTGTTTTTATTTACATTTATGCTCTTAATTAAAGAAATGGCACATTTTTATTCTTAATGGAATACTACTACTCCGCTGATATACACATATGGAAGATCAATTACAAATGTATTTCTTAAAAACTTCTCGTTTTAGTAACAAAGTTAACCAAGATGTTTCGAATTTCTAAACTGACTTTAAGATAAGGTGCAGATTTCATGTTAGAAAACATTTTTATTTCTATCAGCTTTACTTAGATCCAACGTATTTAAATGAAGTACATTTTTAGACAAATGATTGGAATTTATTTTATTGTATTCAACTTTCTTTCATTTTAATTCTTTATTTTATTCAACTTTCTTTAATTTTAATTCTTTATGTTATTTAACTTTCTTTAATTTTTCTTTAATTAAGCAATTTAAGCTAAACGAAAACCGCACATATAAACAATATTTATTTTTAACGATTTTCATAATTTGCATTCAAGGAAAAAGTTAAATTAAAATTTTACATGTAATAAGATAGACAAAAAGCTAGTCAATCAGTAGGACATTTTTAATGCATAAAATTATTAGCATTTGAAAAAATACATCTTTGAAAACATGCAACATACACAGAAAACATATATCATCTTGAGAGCTTTTGGGTGCGGGAAACTATATTTATGCAAAGGGTTATTTCCTAGCATTTTCAAATCAAGAAATTTTGATACAAGAATTCAATTTATTCATTTATTTTCTAAAAAATTTTAAGCATAATTTG